ACGCTTGCCATAGCTTTTCAGAATATATTAGAAATATGTCAAACGATGGGGAGTAAGGAGATAACCTAACTTTGCAAGCATAGGCTCGAGAGCTCAATTTACAGTTCTTAATTGTTTCATCAGACGGTTTGAGTCATTGTAGAATAATATCCAATGACGGAAAATATGATTCAAACCTAACATTGCTCTGTCTGGAATATTTCCCCCAGGGACGGGGGGAGCATTACGTAAGCATTAGGGTACATCATGACATATTCTCTTATATTTTGCAAAATATTGAATCTTCTGATGAGGCATCTCGAGACTTTTCACCTGTCAACAACTTGGAGGAAGATTCGCCTCCCAGCCGTAACAGTCCTGTTTATGAGTTGCAAGAAGACACACCATTACACTGTATAATTCCTGTGGATGTGTTGGAAGAAGACACGGTTTTTAACTGTAGCATATCTATCGACGACTTCGACGAGGATATGTCTCCAACCTGTAGTATTCAAGTCGACAATTTGGACGAAGACAAACCTACCAACTGTAGCAGTCCTGTGGATGAGTTGCAAGAAGACAAGCATCCCAACTGTTACATTCCTGTCGACGTGTTAGCAGAAGACTTACCTCTAAACAGCGGCGGTCTAGTCGACAATCTTGGCGAAAAACCACCTCCCACCTGTACTAATCCTGATGACAAGCTAAACGAGGACACGCTTAACAACTGTAGCAGTCCTGTCAAGAAGTTGCAAAAAAAACCACACCTCCTTATTGCAATAGTCCTGAAGGAGATAAGTCATTGTGCCTACCTCGGGAAATTTGGAGTAAAATATTGCTATTCGTTTTGGAAATGGATCCCAATTCTAGGTTTCGTATCAGGAACGTTAATGGATTGTTTCGTTCAATCATTGATGCTAAACCAGGCCCAAGAGTATATAATTCACCAAGTGTTTTAACAAATATACCATCAACCATAAATGTTAGAAGACTCATGAGACTTGCGGGTTCGTCTAGTGGACTGGTTTTAGAGATCAAAAGAATAATTGCTTCCTCGGATTGGCATCATGCATGGATATGTCTTCAGGCGACTGATAATTATTGGTCTGAACTAGAAGATGTCTGGTTTAAAAATCGACCATTTTAACTCTGTTGATGTCATTGATTTATGACTAAAAGAAATATTTTCACCCAGCCTGCAAACACTGGCTATAAATCATGTAAATCTCTTAATAGTTGTAACCAAGACTTAAAGTAAAGCAAACTGAAATCTTTATAATCATCTTTATTATTTATTAGTCCATTCTTAGATCCACCTCTGATGATAATGATGAAACATTTAAAAGAAACATGTAACAGTTAGGATAAGGATGGATTGGTATGACACACAATAAAAGATTACAATGCGTACCACACACACGAAGTATGAAGTGGACAAAGAATACATTTATTTTATAGGATTAGGATTATTAATTTCGCTTCGGGTCCATTATTTTCAGTCCCAGAAAAAGTGGAATTTATACACTGTATTTTTCAATATTTACATTGTTTCGCAAATATTTCCTCTTGCACAACATTATCTCATTGTTACATTTTAACCCTGTATACAAACAGGTTTCCCACTTGACCACAAGTTCATTGTTAAATTATAAATGATCGACGTGATTCACAATGACGTCATAAGTAGTTCAACAACAAGTTCAACAAATTCCAAAATAAACCACCGAGGTCTGACAATTTAATCGTTTCATGAGCTAAAAACTATACTTTGCAAATATTTGTTAAAAATCAGTCACAAGTATTCCTATAAGTACCGTTTGTACTCGACTATAAATCGTCTATGGGGGGTAAATTTTAGTCCAAAACTCTATATCCGACCAGTAATAAGGCACATGTATTATTTTTAAACATCAAAAGGGATAAAAATACGATTGGTACATGATCATATTTCAGCAAGAAGCTCCTCGGCCCAGGCTTTATGAGATTTGATAACATGAAAAACCCATATTTATATTTTGATATAAATTCAAAAACTACTAAATATAAATACTAATAAATACTGATACTAAAATAATCATGCAACAGTAATGTATTCAAGTAACTCTGATCACGAATAAAGGATAAATGAACCCTTTTCTCTCAAAACAATATATATTATTCAATGTATTACATTGTATTTTTTGTGTTATGTATCCTTAAACATAAGTTGTCAATATTGATGTCTCTCTTTCTCGAAATTTGGAGAAATGGAGCAGATTAGAAATACAATAGTGAAAATTATAAATTTATTTCTCGATATGTATATCTGAAACGTTAACAGTGACATGTGTTAAGCTGTATCAAATCTAAAATAAAAAGTTTCGATAAAAAATATTCAAATATATTATATATATTTTAGGTTGACTATTCAAATCGTTGTATCAATTTAAAAGGAATTTGCTTGTTTCCGTATTTTCAGTAAAAAAAAAAAATGGTTCTTTTAAAAGGATTTGAATATTATTTTATTGATCTCTTTGTCTGTATCTCTTTCTCTCAGCTATCTGACTGTCTGTTATTTAAACATCCGGAGCTTAAAGAAGTTCCCTTGGCTAGCTAGAAAACATAGTAAAACTCCAATAATTACCATTTATATAGCGCAAGGGCATATATAAATGTTTAGGCAAGTGATATCTCATGGTTCAGGAAAGGTGGATGTATGTTTCTCTTAGATACGACAAACCATTTCTAAATTTTATATCATTTAAGGTTGCAACTGCAACGCTTAATGATACACTAGTGTGTATCATTAGTCGTCGATTATGTCGATATTTGCTTGTTTCATTAAGCGTCAGTGTTACTCTGCATTTGTGACGCTTAATGATATAATTCTATCATTAAGCGGCGATTTAGCATTAGCGGTTGAGAATGTCAGCTATTAATGCAATGATTTATGGCATTAAGCGTTGCAATTGCATCGCTTAATGCTATTTGTATCATTAAGCGGCGTTTTATCATTAGAGGTTGCTACAGTCGTCTGTTCTTAAGAAAGCTGTTCTTATATATTGAACAAAATAATGTCATATTGAAAGGAGATGAGACGACAATTGTGCGCTCATATTTAATTTTACAAAAAATATGTTCAAAACGAACTTTGCTTCCATTGTTAGGGCTGTGTTAACCTTAACTTGACATCGATTGATCTGTTAAATATTACAATTCATCATGTGGTGTCCAGATTCGAATGTACTTAACTTGTAAACAATTATTCTAAAACGTGACCTTGGTCTAAATCAGGTCTGAGAACGTGTTTGATTGATCTGCCATTTGCATAATTGAGCAAGTTTAATATGATGTTATAATTTTACATGTCCTCACAATATTTACCAGAGAAATATTTTAATTTTATATTGACATCTCTGTAATTCTTATTAAGTGATACCATACACATATTCGATTTCTAGAGAGAGAAGGAGAGGGAGAAGCCGAGATAGCCCAACCGTCCTTTTAATATGTATTAGGAGACAAAAAAAAAACACTCCGAGTAGATGTCAAATTCCGGATGATGACATTAATGTATCGTTGCTTTGATTTTCATTCATAATACTAATACTTGAGTCACATTTAAGTCGATGGTCGGGCGACTAATTTTTTTTTTCGTATCGTCGTCTGAAAAAAAAAAAAAAAAAAAAAAAAAAAAAAAAAAAAAAAAAAAAAAAAAAAAAAAAAAAACATGATACATGTATAGGCAAAAACTAGTATTAGGAGCAGTCACATTAATTCCTAGGAACACCGATAACTTTAACAGTTTAAATATTTATAATTTCGGCAAATCGTTGCTCGATCATCGAACGCTGAGCAACACTTTCATTTTCATCGTCGGCCGTCATTATGGAAAACCCAAAACTTAAACCTCAGTCACATTTCCAAACACAAACAACGGCTGACGGTTTCTGAGGAAAAATAAGATTCTTCAGGCGACAGTCGGCAGTTCGTCGTTGTCTTGTCCGATTTGGTTCAATCCTGTAAAAGTGATAATGCTTGTGACCAAAGTATACTCATGTAAACCTTGTTTACTTAGCTTTGTAAAACAAAACCTGGGAGTCATTTTTAGAATCTATGTAGAAAAGTGTTACACAGAATTAAGCACTCACTCGGCATCATTCCTGACACAAAATCCAGATCCAGTCGGTCGTCGGTCGATAGACATTTTGGTATTGGGTTTTTCGTAAATGTCGGTCGATGATGAAAATCAATCTGCGGTTCAGCGAACAATGATCGGGCGACGGTTGGCCAACTTATAAAAAAATCAACTTTTTGAGAGGTATCGATGTTCCTAGGAATTAATGTGACTACTCTACGTCTCCTGATACTACTGGCGTAGTACATGCTTTTTTCAGCCGAGAATACAGGAAAAAAATGGTCGCCCTACCATCAAATTAAATGTGACCTAGGTGTCAAATGTCGACAAACTGACACCCAACCTATTCAATAACTGCTTCAATTGAAGAAATCGGCCATGTGCGCAAGAAAAAAATGATGAATTGGTCCAAAATTGATCGGCTGACGAAAAAAGAATTTTAAATCGGGCAAGACAACGGCCGATGAACTGCCGACTGTTGCCCAAAGAATCCCATGTTTGTCTCAAAAATTGACGCCGTTGGTCGTTTTTGAAAATGTGACTAGGGACTAAAACATTGTTTTTTTTTTTTTTTGTTTGTTTGTTTTTTAAATACAGAAGTTCTACCTAGTATACATGCAATCAGTAATTATTGCTATTGCTTGTAAAATATTTTGGATTCACTTCATTTACAGCTTGGTAGACGAATCACGAAAAGACCTAAAATAGGGCGTTAAGTCCAGCCATTCTTTAATTATGAACATCAAATGATTCTAGCTGAAGTGCATGCATGTCTACTTTTAAGGATTTGCTAAAGATACATAACAATTAGCTTACTCAATTAATAAATCAAAAGCTTCTGAGAAAATTTAGGAGGTAAATTTTGATATTGGTAGGGTTGAAGATATTCAATCATCTAGGAAAGTTATTTATGGAAAATACTATATTCCCCAGCTTTATATTCATATCCCGAAATTATATTGCATGGGAAAAAGTCCGTTGGAGCTATTTTGGACCCTCCTTTCCAAGCAGAAAGATTTCTATCAGGAGGTGCAATGATATTGACCTCTATTGTCTCCCCAACCAAGTCTCTGATTTCCTTTTCCAAGCGCTCAGGAAATCCAGGAAGCATTGTAGATCCACCAGCGAGGACGATATTTCTGAATAAATCTTTCTGAATGTCTTTATCGCAACTCTTGATTGCTCTAACGACAATTCTGTGTATACACCAGTTTTGAAAAAGTACTTCCGGGCATTGAAACTTCTCTTGACCAATAGTGATTTCGCTACCATCAGGTAAATGGCATTGGTCATACCTAACATGTCGTCTCTCTGCGTGAGGGTCACTTGCAACGTAACAATGCTTTTCTTTGATTTTCTTGGCATATTTGCGTCCAAGTGATGTCTTAGAAATATTCAGCATCTCCATAAGTTTTTCCGTAAGCTGTAGGCCATTGCAACCCCATCTTCGGACAGCGTATTGAAGTATATTTCTTTCATGGATTGGGACAACATGAGATGTTCCTTCCCCAAAATTGATAACCACACCAGTCGAACGACCAGAAGCAAAGAGGGATAAGATAACTTGATTTACAAGAATAAGTTCGATTGGTTTAAATCTTTGGTATAGTATTTCCAAAAACTGTTTCCTGTTTGATGTCTCCGAAATTATTAGAATAACGAATTGAGAAACGTCAACATCGAGTTTACGAAAAAGAGCATGATCTAAGATCTTTTCCATACCTGCCCACCACGTAATGATGCCATCGACAACATTATAACGGACGTTAAGTACTTTTACATTGCATTCTGCATTCTCGGCTACTAAAATGTCACTTTCCGAGGGAGGTTCATGTAAAGGGGAGAAGGCGATCTGTAAAATATTTTCAAAAATGTCTTCCATAAAAAGTTAAAAAGAAATATTTTATAATATAATATATAATAATCTTATTATATACAACAAGGAGAATGGGCAATGTTGATATATTTTTTTTTTTTTTTTGGAAATCGCAATTAAGAGATATACAACAGAAATTCAAATCTTAAACGTTAGCTATATATGCATGTACTTTAATTCTAACTGATCCCACATTTTCAATGAACAGCTGTATACAATCATTTAAAACAATATACTGTGATTGAATACTGTATGAGATATAGAAAGTAAACAGATTTATATAATACATACACTATGTTTAGGTGCACCGATAACATTGGGAAACTCAGCTTCTGGATCTTCATCACCTGCAAATCCGACCTTGACGGAACCTGAACCAGCATCAATTATGACTGCTGGAACTGCATATTTCTTGGTAATTCTGGAATCTGTCTTCACCGTTTGCACTCCAGCATCTATCTTTTCAGCACTATGGTTTTCGTGAAGAGATATTTCAGTTTGAACTTCAGCGTCTTTCCTTTCTTTGCTTATTTCAAAGTGAATTCTCTCTGTTTGAACTCCTACATCCATCAACAGCATAATTAATTCAGATTTTGAAGCAACTTTTTTTTGAATTGAAAAAATGTTGTTTTTTTTCCTTCATCACCTCCAGAATCCTCTTACTTTATATGAAATTCAAAATTCATATCATCTCCATAATCCTTAAATGTCTACATCTAATATTTCACAGTTTCGCCTACTTACAGTTCCATTTTGTTCAGTTTTAAAAAAAACGATTTATATCAAGTAATAGTCACACATAACCGTACGAGGAATTTAAAGTTAGAAGATATTCATTACATACTTTATATACGCGTATTATGTATGGTGGCCTTAAGCTTCCATTAAAGTAAAATATTTAATTGCTTTTTATATCACCCATGGTATCTTTTTTTTCTTTCGAGGTTAGCTTCGAAGATAGGTAAAGGTTATTGGAAAAAGGACGCTCCACGCAATCACATTCCTGAACAACTTTTCAAAGACATTTGGACATTTCAAACTTGACCTGACATCAGGGGAAGTTTTATAACTTAAATTTACTCACTTATTTTGTTTTGACTGACGATTATGTGATGTGGTAAAAATCTTATGTGTACATTATTTCCAGATTAAATATTTTTTTTCTATAAACACATACAAACCATAACTTTGTAAAGCTATACAGCGCATTTGCCTACATTCACGATTTCTTAAAATGGTGGTCATAAATACTGATGCACTTCACTTGAACAAAAGTAAACTTTCCCTGCAAATTTTATTCCAACCTTACCTAATAGTTCGAAGGTTTCCTTAGAATAGATGACAACTAATAAAACTGCATGGAATGGTATCATTCAGAGTTCTTATGTAGTTCTGATCAAGCTATGTCCAGAGATGAAGAGCTCTTTATCTGTCCTAATCATTTCTTTTAATTTCATGTTACATGTATCTATGTACTGGAACTATTCCGCTTCATGAAAATATGCCTTCGTGCAAGTCTGTGTGATTTACACACCAATAACTCAAAACAAAGAATAACATTCCTTATATTTACATTTTACTTGTTTTAGAGCAGCCAAAATACACTCAAGATGCTCTATATCGTTATATCTTCATCAGCGTCTCTATAGTTTCATCGTGACGTAATTTTACCGTGTGTTTCTCCGTGTATCTTTCTATTTCTTAGTATACACAAAAATGACATTCAAATCAACTTCATAGTTGCTTCAGTAGAAAAAAAAACACAGCAAATGCAGATAATTTTTGGTGTGAATAGGAAGTTTTTCAAAATCACAGGCCACTTTTAAATATCTTAATGCCAACAACAAATTTGAATTTGATTAACCATTCATATACTGGATTCCTAAACTGCATAAAAATCCTTATCAACAAATATACATACCGGGTTCTAGTAAATGTTCTACCAAGTTTCTTCCTTTACTCCTTACAATAATATTAGCAGCACTGAAGGAGGAACTTCAGGAGTACTGTGCAACAACATATTTGAGGTGATATTTGTCAGATGTGGATCCTTAAAAAAATCCGGGTAACTTTTGAAATATTTGAATGCACAAAATGCTATCAAAATTAATAACATCAAAACGTCCGACTTTTCAAAATTTTATACAACCATTCCTCGCGATAAATTAAAGACCAGACTTTTTGATATCACATACAACTGCTTTGTCAATAAAAATGAAAAATTTAAAATTAACGTCTTGTCTTTGGTCATCTGCAAGCTAATTTTGTTTTATAAAATCAGATTCTACAAACAAGTACTTCGAAGTTGATATTAAAAACTTTAAAATGCTTGAGTTTCAGATTAGCAATATATATATATATATATGTCTAATGTCTAGAATATCCAGGTCTAATTGTGTCCCACTATTAGCTGACTCATTTAAGTATTCATATGAAGTAAAATTGAATTTTGTGTCTCCCAGGTGATTCGATACGCAAATGTATGTTCTACGGACGGACAATTTCTAGTATGAGGCAAGCTATTGACAAATAAGTTGAAGATACAAGGATATCAGCAGTATCGTTCGAAGTCAACATTTTTCACACTCTGGGGTCGATACAATGACTTTATTAGCAAATACAATCTATAGTTAAGTCAAATGTTGATTAACGTTTTTCAAAAAAATTGTTAGCCCATCATTTTCAAACTGAATTGTCTACAGACTTTTCTGTTTACCCTATCATGAAAAGGAGCATAGATGGGTGGACCGATGGACCGGTAATGGTTACTCCTCAATGACACCTGATCCCATCTCTGATTTTTAAAAGGTTGGATCTACTCACAATTTCTATTATTTCAATGGACTTTTGAGCCTAATTACAGTTCGTTATCTTCATATTTCATTGCGGCACGTTAATCCTATAGTCAGATTAACTAGAATGTAAGCACCCGGTTAAATAAAATATAATTTTATGATAAATTGTTTAAAGAGACATGATGAGTCAAAATTATATAATTATTTTCTGATATTTACATCAGAAATGAATATATATACATATACCGATAAAAGGAAGTTTGCAATGTAAAGAAATCCTTACAGTTTAAAAAAAAATGTAAGTGCATGGGAAAAAAATTGTATCTACTGCATCGTTGTTGTCGTCCATGTTTGGTCTCGCGGTATTTATTTATAGCAAAATGCTCGAGAACAATATTGAATAGGTCATGCAAAGGTAAGGATTATGTTCTTATTATCTATTCGACGATTAAAAGCCACTTTTTCGAATTTGATACCGTAAAACTTGTTCAACTTTTCTGCGCAAGCGTACAAAAAGGAAGGAGAGAACCCATTCTTTCCTCAGGGCCAGACAAGAATTATATTTTCCCTCCATAAAAGTAGGTTTGGAGGTTCTGAAACCTATAATTTCTAAAACCATATATTCTTCAAGATTTTAACAGACTATGGATTGACCATGCACTAATTTATATTTGTCAATTTTCCCGTTTCTGTGTCAAGGTTTGTTTTAAGGAAGTGCATTCCTTGGCATTTTAATTCCAGTGTGAAGGTTTATTATTTTTTTAAAATTATTTATTTTCATAATTTTAAAATATTGTATGGCATATTAAATATTTTGATGATTTGTCAAAATACACAAGGCTTTAAGGTCCGACGACACCTTGTTCGGATATCTGTTTAGCATCTCTTCATAATATACAACAAATTAATCATCATAATTATTATTATCTTCTGATTTTTGAACTGCTTTCAAAATATCTAAGTAGATAAAGACACAAAAATTGTGATATTGGCAAAGCTAGTGATTTCCAATAAGATTATTAAGTAAATAACTTATGGGTATCTTGCACAAATCCCTGGTAAAGCATTTTAAGTTTTTGTGAGGAAAAATTTTAAGTACAATACTCCTATGTTGAAATCTTGCAAAAAAAGATTATATATTATTGAGGAACGTTTCGTCTGACCTTAATTCATCAACCCTCTTTAAAAATAATAATCCAATTATTTTCTTTAAAACTTTATCAATCACCTCAATATCTTGAACGATAATATATGTGACCCCATGTTTTTGCGTTAAATACACATATAAGAGGATCTATCTACAGATGTAGTTATATTATTCACGAAAAAAAAAAAAAATATTGGAATTACTCCTTCAGTGATAGAAACATGCTTTGTTCATATTAAATTTTCCTTTCTTTAAGAGCAAAAAGGTCACGATTTATAGTTTTGATATCAAGGGTTATTTTTCTGAACAAAACTATTAATATTATAATATTATAATTGAGTAATTATTTACTTTAAATGTATTGTCATATTAAGAAAATACTCTTTAAACAGAGTAGTTTAAATCAATATTTCAATTTTTTTTTAATTTCAAAGAGGTAAAATTTTTACTGGCATTCATTCGAAAGAAAGGCATGTGTCATCCCAATTTCTCTTAATTATCTTAATTCTTTATCATAGTAGATATTAGACAAGTATATACTCATGAAAATAGGATATTTTGTATACTTTCAGGCCTGTACTAAGGATACTGCATGACCTTTTCACACTTAAAACATATACTTTGGATATTAAAAATCTAAATATGCAATAAACCATAAATTGATTTGCTATATCAAGTTCTTTTGTGAGCTAAATGCTGATCGGGTAGAAAAATCGAGTAATTTCTAACCAAAAAAAAAAAAAAATAGTTGGGCCAATTTGTTCGCAGGGGTAATAAGGAAGCATTCAAAATATTCAACCTTGACTTAGTCAGTGCTACATTATGACGTCATAGTAGGCGAGATGACGTCAATTTTAGAATACAAGTTTTCGTAATATTCGTATTTAGAGATGTAATTTAACTCTAGAAAATGAATAGAAACGTGTAAACATTAACAAAAATAAAATGTTTTTATTTTGTTATGCTGTATCTGTCATTTTGATTAAAATCTACCACCGATGACGTCATATGTGTACTTCAAGTAACTTGGGAATTGATCATGTCGTGTAAAGAGAATTTGGCTAAGACGGCATGTACAAAGATACGTAAAATGGAGTTTAAAAGCAAATATCCTGAATATTTTGTGAAATTCATATGGAGTACAGTTACTAAAACAGGTATGCTAATTTATTTTCATCGATTGTATTCTCTTCGAAGACAGTCAGCTATATACGTATCCCGGTCTGCCTTTCATCTGTCATTTGTAACAAAAATAATGCAACAGAACAACAATTAGCTGTATATTTCAAAACATAAGATTTGTACAGATGGAAAGTTTGCCTCCTGAAAAACTTGGAAAGTGCTGCTAGAATCCCGAGTTAAGCATGGTTTTACGAAAAATCTCGGTTTATATGTATAAAATTCAAAACATCGGGTAAGGTTTCGTGCGAATGTGTGGAATTATTATTTTACTGACAGGACAGTGGGATTCTAGCAGCACTTTTTAGGCAAAATAGATGTTTTCCAACTATATTATTTACTCAAAGAAATTATTACACTTCGGGGTATTGTTGCTCTGTTAGCTTTTTTACTAAGGAAAATTTCGCTATTAATAGAAGTCACGTGATGGCGTGGTGGTGGTGCACGTCTTTGCGTTA